TATTTTTTTTTTTTTGTTCCATCCCGTGGTTTTTACAAGTCGTGTGTATTTTGTGTGCATGTGAATAAATGCAAAGCCATTACAAATATGTCAGAATGCGTTAAACTATTTGTTTCATGATGTTAAATACGTGCAAACATTTGTAGTTGTTGTTGTCGTTGTTGCATTTGTTGCTTTTGTTGTTTTGCTGTCGACAGCAAAAGCGGATTTGTACGCAATTTGCACTTTAAAATCGCCTAAAGATATGCAATTGAATTTTTGATAAAAGTATCAAAAGCAGATAATGCAAAGTTGTCCATTTTTGTTGTTACACACACACACACACACACATACGTACATAGATTTGCAATGGCGGCATCACGTGCCAATCAGCGCTTTGAGTGTAGCACAAAATTTGCATATTTGTCTCCGGTTGCAGTCGCCGACGTCGCTGCCTGCGTCGCTATCAGCGTCAACGTCACAGTCGGCGTCTCTTTGCTGTCATTTTAATATAAATATTTGTTTAACTGTATTCATAAGGGAAGCATTGGTGTATGCGTGTGTGTGGGTGGCTTGTTAAATTATGCGCCGAGCCAACACGCACGCACACACAGACAGTCTCTTTAATCGACAAGCCCGGCCCGGCCTCTCTTAAAATTAATTTTATATTGAACAATTTTAATTATTATGCAATAACAAACAGAGGCCAGTCAGCCAGTCAGCCAGACAGCCAGTCCAGCCCCTGCTTACCTTCTGCTTTGCCAATGTTTTTTATGGCTTTTAACAACACAAATATTTATCCAAGCCATTTGCTTTCGTCCTCCTCCCACTGGGTCAACCCCCACCACCCCCACCACCATTTGTTGCAGTCGACACGCCTGCAATTATTTAATTACCGCCCATTTTGCATTATGCTTAAAGTTAACAACAATTTTCAATTGTTATTGCATTTGGGGCAACGCGTTTGCTCTTACTGTTGACATTTCAGTGTCAACTCAGCCCCTGGCCACAGAAATTTTGACCGCCTGCTGCTTCCATCAACAAAATACTCTGCGACAATGCCTTCAATCACTTGCCACATTTCATGAAATACGCGTATTTCTCCAAAATTATTTGTATGCTAATTGCATAAAACAAGAAAAGAAAACACAATCAAAATAAGAGATATTTTGATGTCTGCTTTTTCCGTCTGTCTTTCGTCGCAAGTGTAATAATGAAATTTAAAGCCCATAAAGTTTTTTCTTAATTAGTAAAACGATTTTTGCATAAATTAATGATAATGCCGAATGACTTGAAATGCTCGGACGTGCCCGCCCACGCATATAAATTTTGAAATTCAACAAAAGGCATTGCAGCGACAGACAGACATCTGTACATCTCTACTTATATAAATAGTTTCTCGTACTCCTCAGCTGTACGAGTATACATGTATATACTTGTATGTATGTATGTAGCCGTGAATACACTTAAAACATTTTAAAGTTAAATAGGAAATACAGCAATAATTTAAGTATTTAGGTCTGGCAATTGCAATCCAACTCCTGACGAGTCTTCGGTTTGAGCTCCTATAGCCTGAATCAAAAAACGGATAAAATAGGGCTTGAATAAGAATGTATTAAATGCCTAATCGAATTTAAAATGGAATGCATGGGGACATTTTTATATGTCAAAAAAATAATAATCTTTTTCTGGAAAAAGCAAGATTATTTTATTTTTCTACAAGAGTCTGCCATGATTGATTTCTCTCGCCATGCTGATTAAAAATATATATATCTGTAATCGTATATGTTACATACTTTGCGCAAGTCCCTAACTCGATGTTTAAACTTTCCGTATAAAGTACAAGTATAACAAGAAAGGAATACAAAAAAAAAATTAATTAATTTAATTAATTATAAAATATTTAACACATGCATACAGACATAAGTATTTATGTACAATTTCAACAGCATAGATTTACATCAGAACCCCGTCTATGCGTGCTTGTATGCAGTAAAAAAAGTCTAAGCAGCAACCCCTGCCGGCAGAGCTTGGACAGAGATTATTTTATTATAAGGATGAAACTTGGCACACAGACACTTAATCACTAGTGTAAAATTCCAAGAAATACGGGAGTTACGGGAATTATGGGAAAAACACCAATTGCGGGGGAGTGGGATGCATCAGAAAAAAAAACACAAACTCGAACTTCCTCCGACTTAGGAGAATCTGGATACCGAGTTTGGCTATTCTTGCTCTTGTACTTCCTGATATCCTTGCGTTCATACAGACGGACAGACGGACGGACAGACGGACATGGCTATATCAACTCGCCTTGTCATCCTGATCAATAATATATATACTTTGTGGGGTCTGCCACGCCGCCTTCTGCCTGTTACATACATTCGCACAAAACTAATATACCCTTTTACCCTTTGGGTACAGGCTATAAAAATTAAGGAGATAAAATACCATAACGTGGAGCTGCTTCAAAAATTCCATTTATATTCAAAGGACTCTATAATATCAAAATATTTGAAGCAAGCATTCATTGCTAGTCTTTAAATAAACACAAAAAGAATCAGACAGGCAGATATGTGTGGAATAGATTTAGCTCGAGACTCGATAACTTTTCCTGTGCGACTCTAAAGCAGTTGTCTAATTTATTGCATAACTGTAGAACACAGGTTCTATCACCAGAATAAACAAGGATTTTGACTTTTAAAGAAAGTCAAGAATGTTCGAGCGCCAGACACTTATTATACCTACAATAGCAATGTAACTGCCAGAGAAGAGGAAGAACATATGCATTCGGAGGAGAGAGTACGAGAACATTCTCTTTACGCACAACAGGCCTTCTCGCTCTACATATGCGATATATTAGAAACTGGATCACAAGTAGAGACAAATCGAAGGAGATTTTTCTAAAAATCTAACTAGAGTGCTCTCTTCTTTTTCTGAGTGTATTGCTCAAGTGTGTGTACATATACTTGTATATGTATTTATGGTGCGTGTGCCCTGGCATTTAATTCAATTATAGCTACGCAAAAATCAGCCGAAACATTTTACATTTTGCATTCTGCGCCACTGGGCCGCCAACTTTGCTCGCTTACGAGTATTCCCAATAGTTTGCCCTTCGCCGGGCGCAATGAAAATAATAAATAATTGAATTTTTGCGAGTGCCATGCAGGGTGGAGAGACCAGAGACCAGAGAAAGGAGACCAGAGAGGAGAGAGCAGAGAGCAGGCAGCAAGCGCTTAATCACTCCAACAAGTTAAATGTAAATTTTGCGCAACGCCCTTGATTTTATTCAATTATCTTGTCGCTGTTGCTTTTAATTCTTGTTGTTGATATTGTTGTTGTTGTTGCTGCATTTGATGTTGTTGTTGTTGATGCTGCTGCCGCTTTAACAAGATGCACTTGTGCCTACCCGCGCTGATGGCGACCACACGAAGTTGGCTGTTGACACCCTCTTTGGCACGCCCCTGCCCCTGCCCCAGCCCCAGTCCCCCAACATTGATGCCCCCCGTCTAGCAGCCTTGCTGGCATGCATTTTAAATATGTTTATGCATAATTTAAAACCTTTTGTTGTTAATGGCACTCATTTATTGCGTTTGCTACGCCCACATTCAGTGGCTTCGTTAAAGTAACAGACTTAAATGCGATATGGCAGCCAAATGTGTAAACTGAGACTGAGCCTTTTAAATGCTCTTTAATGGCAACAAAAGTACCACAAGCTGCATCCAAAATTGCACACAACTGTGCAAACATAAATGCATATATGCTACCTATAAATGAACACACTTACTACAAATACTACAAACACACAGACACATGTAGCTTGCAATTGAAGCGACTTGATGGGCACTTTTCTGCTAACATCCAATTGAGAACAATAAGGGCTACTGTGGCTACAACGACTATTGAGAAAGCTTACAAACATGCATAGACGTGTTGGTGCACTGCAAAATAGTTTAAGCACTTCTACACGCTCAGTGCAGACGAAATTCTGTTTAGGAATTAACTTTTTAGAACTACATACTTGTAAATAATAAAACTCAAGTCCGTACCGAGAAAAAACTTAAAATGTTTTCCATTTTAAGAATAATTACATAAATATTTAAAAGAGACTTTGTTGTTGAACTGTCTTCATCAAAACCTGCCAATTTCTCTCAAAATATGTAATATCGACAGCTACTGGTACTGTCTTCTCAAGTTATCCAAGTATTTTTCTGTAGGGCGAAGCTCCGAAGCTATTCGATAACATAATTAACAGCTTAATCATTTCATGACTAATTAGTTGAATCAATTACGGTTTCTTTAAATAACTTTTATGCAATTACAATTCCCTTATTTAATGGAACGTTGATTGAAATCCATATTTAAAATTTGGAACAAAAGTAAAAAAGTACAGACAAAAAATTGCCATACCAAGTCGAAATATTGTTTTTCAAATACTATTAATTTAGTTTTAAAAATCTCCATTACACACTAATCCAATTCTCTTCGCGCTTTATTTCTAATAAGCTCGTATTATAAAATGTGGCCTGATTTTTGACATGCTTCTATACTTGATCCACGTTTCTGATATAAAGTTCGAATAAGAAATATTATGCTCATATACATACATAGTATTGTCAATCTTATACTAAAAATCACATTTAATTTTATAAAATGAATTATAATTATATTGAATACATTCAGCACAAATTGAAGAAATTGGATTACATTTTTATATTTATATTTTGGCGATGAACTTGCTGGACAACAGCGAACGGACCAGGAGGCTGCTCAGGACCCATCCTCTGGACCTCCCCAGGGACTAGCCGGATACTACAACCACACTCTAAATGAAATAATAAACTGAGAAGTTTATCTTTATCCAATTTAATGATTGTCCATGATGGACAGTTTTAAATAAAAAAAAAAATAAAAAATAAAAAAAAAAATATTTAATAGAACCGATGGAAATGGAAAAGTGTATGGCCATGCCAGTACATAACCTTTACTATAAACACAGGAAGCCATTAAATAAATTTCCCCAAAATAAAACTTGAATTATACAATACAATACATAAATAGACACTTGAGAAACTTTTAATAAATCGAACATGGCAAAAAGGGTAAAACCGTCGCTCTTACACCAAAGGCTTGTTGCTTTACAATTTCTGCTTTTTTTCCATTCAGGATAATGAAGCACAGCCCGTGCTTGAGGATGAAACAGAACCGGAGGAGGAAAACAAGGCGAAGCGTATTTGTAAATTAGTATGTCTTATAGTTTTCCATATCGTCTTCATAGCTTATTTCATTTGGTGTACAGTGGTTTATATTCGCTATGGTAAGTGTGTAGAATTTAAATTATTTTCGAAAAGTCTGTAGCATTTCTGGGCTCGAATCGCAGACAGGAAAGAACATTGCCATTTTAATACGACAAAGGACGATAGCAATAGTACGCAAGAAGTGGAATATACGCCGCCGATACTCTGTCTCTTTAACTGGTGTATGGGCTATGGGTTTTTGGTTGTCTTATTTGTTTTATTCTACATTGCATATTTCTACTATAAGGTGTTCAAGCCCTATGTCGGACAGAAGGTGTACGATAATTCTATAGAGCCAGCCATTGATAAATGGATGGAATTCAGTCGCACACGGTGAGATCGATGTTCGATATCATGTATGGACGAGTATATATAATAGTATCTTGTATTACAGCATTATGTCCATTGTAATGATATTATTCGTCATTGTGGTGATGGGCGCCATTATATTGTTCGAGTCCCGACATGAACTGCTTAAGGTCCGAGGCGTGGCAGCGCCCATCTTCTTCATTTTCGTTGGCTTTGTGTTCTCAAAGCACCGTAGGGCCATTCCCTGGCGCATTGTGGTCCACGGCCTATTTTTACAGTTCATGCTGGGCATTGTGGTAATACGCTGGGATAGGGGTCGAGAGGTGTTCGCCTGTGCTGGCGATAAGGCGGCTATATTTTTCAGTTATGCCCGGGAGGGAGCTCTCTTCGTTTATGGCGAAACGATAGTGAATGACTTTGTATTCGCATTTGCGATATTGGCCGGCATTTTCTTCTTCAGCGTGATAACCTCATGCCTCTTCTACTTGGGCGTTATTCAGTTCTTTCTGGGCGTATTCGGCTGGCTGCTTCAGGCAATGATCGGAACTACTGTCTGTGAGAGCGTGAATGCGGCGGCAAATATCTTTCTGAGCATGTCCGAAAGTCCCCTGCTGATCCGGCCGTATATTTCACGGCTAACAAGAAGTGAACTTCATACGATATGTGTCTCTGGATATGCCACCGTGGCTGGCACAGTGCTGGGCGCCTATATATCTTTTGGAGCCTCGGCAGCTCATTTGATAACCGCAAGTGTGATGGGCGCACCCGGCTCTCTAGCTTTTGGTAAATTGTTTTATCCCGAGACAGAGGAGTCTCAAACCAAGGCGGACAACATAGAGCTGGAAGCATCGTGAGCTTAATAGTAACTCAAACGTATGTATATCCTTTTTATAACCAGTTGCTCTTATACAGGGAAGATGAAACTCTGCTGGATGCTGCGGCAAGTGGCGCTGCCAATGCCATGATGATCGTGTTGGGTATAGTTTCCAATATTATCGCATTCATTTCCATGATTGCATTCTTCAATGCCGTTGTGGAATGGTCTTTCGAATTGGCTGGCGTCGATGAGGTGACCTTCATAGGACTGTTGTCCAAGGCGTTCATGCCATTGGTATTCCTAATGGGCGTACCATGGTACGATTGCCAAAAAATTGGCCTAGTTGTGGCTGAGAAAACCCTCATTAATGAATTCGTTGGCTACATGGATTTGGGCAAAATGATAATGGGCGGAGAGATCGATGTAAACCAATTTATTTTACTGTAGTAGTTGTGAGACAACAATAACAATAATTTTCTCATCTTCAGGCTCGCAGCGCAGCCATTGCCACCTTTGCGCTTTGTGGCTTCGCCAATCCTGGCTCCCTGGGCATTCTGATTGCTGCCCTGAGCGTCATGGCTCCTACCCGCCGCGCGGAGATAACCGAAGTAGCATTTCTCGCCTTCTTCGCTGGCAGCATTGTTAGCTTCACCTCGGCTAGCTGGGCTGGTAAGTCCAATATGGTATACAAGTAGTCAGCGAAAAAATTACATATCTTCTTCATAGGAATCTTTGTGCAAGAAACCGAAGTAAACAGCATTTCTGAGAAACTAATAGATTTATATCTTAAGAATTCCAAATAAGGATGATGTTGCTACTCACAATGAAAGGAAATATATGTAAAGTGTTTAAGAAAATGCAGAAAAGTAAACGATGTTGATTGCACAAATTTCTGCCTTAAAAGGTTCCGGAAAATTTGTATATCAAAAGAATTATTAAAGTATCCAAAATCAGAGAGCATGGCTTACTGCCACGGGTTTGCCAGAAAAAAAAAAGAATATAACATATGTTATTCGTTCTTCTTGAAAACCTTTGGCGCTGAATATTGAGATAGACTTGGATAGATATAATATAATTAATATGATCTTTTAGGTGACTTACCCAACTCGTATGTTACTTAATTTTCCAAATCCTGACCTCTTGTTCAACTGTGAAGGGATCGCTTTCATATTTAAAAAGAACTTTCAGATGATTTTTTCCCCCATTTGGCAATTTAAGAATTTAGTCAACTAGGGGCTCATTGATATCTTTAATTGATTGTAATTTATTAATGAAATATTCATAATCAGCCCGTTTTGTAGCCTCTTGACACTTTAAGTTTGACTTAGCCAAGTTTAATTTTAGTCAGCCACTCGAATTTTAGGGTTTTTTTTTAAGAAATCTCTTTTGTAAAGTAAACAGAACTAACCACACACTTTTAAATATTTCCGAGTGTAAGCCTACCTGGCAAACATGTGCTATTGATAAGTAGAATAGTTTTACTTCTTATATATATTGTACAATAAGAAATGTGTTAAGCGGTGTACCCCACTTAAGAGACCGTAAGAGACAAGGAAATGTAAGTAAATAAATGCTTCAAACCTCCCAAGATCTTTGTTCCCCTCAAGGTGAAATCGAAAACAATCATATCCTGGGAAATCCTAACCGATTCGGCTTCAATAAAAAGTTTCGATTACGAGTGCGTCAAAAAAATAATTTTATTTAAATAAACTCCAATTATTGCTTTGAATTGAATTGTAATGCAAAACGAAACAATGCAACGATACACATTTTCATTATACTTTAAATATTTTCTCTTTACAACAGTATTTTAAGTACAATTTAAAACTGCATTCGCGTCCAAACTGTGGATGTTAAGACCTTAGAGATGGTAGTAAAAAGAAAATTCGTGTAAGGACTTAAAGCGATTTGCTTTTTAAAGGGAATTTCAAATTTTGGCAAAACGAACAATATACAATTTCAAGTGTACACCCACACATGAATCGAATGCGCATTCACACTCACACACACACACACATACACCTTCACACACGCCAATAAACTTCAGTCTCGTTCGCATCCATTCAACTTTAGTCGCTTGAATTTGATTTGATTTCGCCATTTACCTTGTCGAGTTCGTTTTTTTCTGTTACGCTTGCCTCTGTTGTTATCACTCGTTATTGTGGCTGTTGTTGTTATTGCTGTTGTTGTTGTTGTTGTTGCAACTGCTACTGACTCGGTTGCCTTTTGTAGCTTAAAGCCTGAGGCATGCTTCCTGCTGACGCCGTCATCGTCGTCGTTCTAGTCGACGTCATCGTCGCTGGTCGGATAAAACTTGCAGATATTCGCATTCACAGTCAGACGAGCCTTTTAAGGACACTCGCACACTAGACACGACAGCACGTTGACTATCTTGGCACCTTACTTTTAGGTTTTGTTGATTGCGTTTACCATACTACTCCAACTACACACAGACACGGGTCTTAGTTTAACAGTTGTGTTGCACTTTTTTATTATTTTATGCCACGATTCGCTTTGTTTCCTATTTTTTCGTTTCTTGCACTTTTTTCCAAAGAAAAGCTGCAAATATTTTTTATTTAGTTAAATTTCGCTTATATACAAACAGCCACAGCACACACGCACACACACACACACACATGCTGCCGCCATATGCAAACATTTGAGTGTGTGTTAAAAAACTGCTGAGCTTTTCAGGCACAGTCAACTTTGGCTCGCTTTTTTAGTCTGGAATTTGTTGGTTTCGTAATGATGCAAAAGAATTTTTTAATATAAAACAGCGTCAGAGAGACAACGATGGTAGCACCGCACATACGCACACAAACACACACATACACACACACACGCAGTGGATGCATGTATATAGATAGGAATGTGTCTGTGTGTGTTGGCTGAGTAACGTGGCCGCCATTGCTTGGCTTTGTGTTGATGAAGCTAATTTGGTGGTGTGGCTGAACTTAACAGCCAACCTGAAGTTTATGGCAAGCTGCAGATGCAGCTGCATCTATGTGTGTGTGTGTGTGTGTACAAGTTGGTTTTTAATTGCGCTGTAAAAATATGTTAATCATCTATTAATTACAGCACAGTTTTGCAGCACTTGCAGTTTTAGCGCTGAGCAAATAGCAGGACTGCTAAGACTAGAGTCGATAATTAAAGGTTCTCCTTAATGCCTTATCAGACAGGCACATAATTTTCCCTTCCTTTAATTTTAGAAATAGAATAAAGATATATTTTTAAATAGGGGGAATAAATGTCTCGACATACTTTCAAAGGTAGTTAGTCAAAGAAAATAGGTTCGCAGCTTAGGTCGGAATATGTTGAATGCAAAATAATGAATCAATAATATTACTGCAGTGTTACCTCATTTTTTTATACATATATTGATGAATTGACGCAAAGAACTAATATGTCATATGTGCGCGAAACACACGTAGGCAGCTGCATTTAAAATTGAACCGCATTGGCCGGATATTCGGGGTAACAAAAATATGCAATTAGTGGTCGACAGCAACCACCAGAGCTTTTATGGGAGAGGAAATTTGAAACTCCCCTCAAAATACCAACGAGCCATTTAACAAACAACTTCGTTTCTACAACGAATACAATTTAAAACAAGTAAAAAAGCTAAAGTCGGGTGTCCCGACTTTGAAATACTCTGTACATATGTTTACAATAATTATAGAAAATAAAAAAATTAAGAAAATAAAAAAAAAATTTGATCGATTTTACCTCTCTCGGTATTCGAACTCACGTAAAGGGTGTATAATTGCACATTTACATAGCAATTGCGTCTGTGTGAGTGTATGTATGCCTATGCGCATCTATTCGTGTCTGTGTAAGCATTTTCGCAGTCAACCAAACAGCAACATCAACAACAGCCGCGGGCAGCGCTTGAGCAGCGCTGCAGCAGCGCTGCATCAGCAAATATATTTATGGCTATAACTTCTTGTTAAATCGGTCTATCATAATGAAATTTGGCATACGGACACATAATAACCAACTGGGGGTATTTCCAAAATTTTAGTTCGAAATTCCAAGAATTACGGGAGTTACGATTTGCGGGGTAGAGGGGGGAGGGAGGGGAATTCCAAAATATACATTTTCTGCGTATTCACATAAGGCATCTGGGACTAAAATTTTGTGTTCCTAGGTCTTATAGTCTCCGAGATATAGGCGATTATACGAATGGAAAATCGGGAAAACCCCCATAGGGGGGAAGTGGGGGGGAAAATCAAAAAAATAAAACAAACTCGTATAGAATACACACATAACGCATCTTTGTGCAAAATTTTGTGTCTCTATCTCTTATAGTCTCTGAGATCCAGGTGTTCATACGGACGGACAGACGGACAGACGGACAGACGGACAGACAGACAGACAGGGCTAGATCGACTCGTCTCGTCATGCTGATCAAGAATATATATACTTTGTGGGGTCTGCCACGCCTCCTTCTGCCTGTTACATTTTTCAGCTCCCGCAAACCTAATATACTCTTGTACATTTCATGTACAGAGTATAAATAGAGTAAACAAAATGGCCTTTTTGTCGATTTAAATTGAATAAAATTCTAAAAGTCAGATCTATTGACAAGGATTGATTAGCAAATTGAACGGTTGAATTCATATATTTTAAGCTTATCAGCTTGAACATAATTGTTATTAAACGTACTCAAATGGGATACAGATAAGTGAGTTATTATACCCTGTACCCGTAGGGTAAAAAGGGTATATTAGGTTTGTGCAAAGTATGTAACATACAGAAGGAAGCATCTCCGACCCCATAAAGTATATATATTCTGAATCAGCATGACGAGAGAAATCGATCTAGACATGTCCGTCCGTCTGTCCGTCTGTCCGTCTGTCCGTCTGGATGAACGCGAGGATCTCAGAAACTATAAAAGCTAGAATAACCAAAGTTGGCATCCAGATTCTCCTAGGTCCGAGTAAGGACGAGTTTATTTTTTTTTTTTAATTTTCCCCCCCTTCCCCCGCTACAGAATTTCGTCAATAGCGTCCACATTTCAAATGCTACCTAAACCAAACTTTGCACACATAATTTATATATAATTGTCTACAGTTGTTTAAAATTTTATCCACTTCGGTCAATTCTGAGAAAAGTTATTAGCGAAACAAATTCTCTACAGTACAACCCCCACAAACTGCAGCAACAAGTTCGCTCTTCTTCTTCCTCTTTTTGCTACTGCTATGGGCGCATATAACTCAGTGACGGAAGTTTACCTGGGTACAGGGTATTACACTGTCGGGCTTGCTCGACTGTAGCGTTCTCTCTTGTTTTTATAACGTATTTAAAGCGGCATTAGAATACTTTTAAATCTTGTATTTATTGAAAGCTAAATCCCATTTCATTCACTAAATAATTTCTTCATTTAAATAGCAACAATTGGTTCTGTGGCTAGTGAACAATTCCAAAGTGCTTTTGTAAATGATTTGCCTGTTTGACCAAAGCTTCAGTCTGCCGACCAACAATATCAAAGGTCAAAAGCCCAGCTCAATACCATTGCATATACTACATGGGTAGGCATATGTATGCATGTATTGTGTGTATTATTTAACGCCAGCAAATAAATTGTTAAACCAACTTTACAGACAACATCCGCGTGCCGATTGTCTGTCTATATGTCTGTCTGACTGTGTCGCAGACAGGCCAACCAAGCACCGTTACAGTAGCTGCCAACTTCTGCTGCCTGTTTGTGCTACCAGGCGCACTCAGGCACTCAGCCAGTCAGCCAGTCAGGCAGTCAGGCAGTCAAGCATGTGACAGGCAGTTGGTCATTATTTCGCACTTTTCGTTGCCGGTGCGGAAATTTCACAGCGCACACGTGCAAAGGCAATGGCGAACACAAAAGGAAGCAACACGGCACAACTGCCACAAATGGTAGCGTCGGGGTAGGAGTAGGGGACGGGAGGTAAACATGTGGTAAGGTGTGACGTTGGACTGCATGCAAAAGCCAAAGGTGGAGGCGCACAACAAAAGATAAGGC